CATGTTGAGGCTGTCATTTTTAGCATCAACATGGATGTTAAAATCACCCACAATAATTATTTTATCTGAGCTCAGAACTAAATTAGATATAAAGTCTGAGAAATCAGACAGAAACTCTGTGTAAGTCCCAGGTGGACGATAGATGATAACAAGACTGGTTTCTGAGTTTCACAGTTTCAACAGTTCATATGAGTTACTGATCCTTACATTAGCCTGGTACTGCTCCAGGATCACATGACCAGGAAACTCTGGTTCTGGAATGGCTGAGAACTGTCTGATGATAACCAGGAGTGTTTGAAGTCCTGCTAGTCGCAGCTCATCACTGTGATCTGTTGATGCCATAAACGCCATGCGTACCAGGTCGCCAAGATGGAGGACCAGGAAATCTGAGAGAAACGGGTGAGAGATCAACGAGGTCTAAGACATCCAGAAACATAAACCGAGCAAATCCCTGTGAGGTCTTACCAGTGGAGTCATGCAGGCGTCGTTCCTGAGCAAGAGCCATGTCAAAGTGAGCTGGGTCGGCAGTCTCGCACTGTGCTATGATGCGACACACACACTCCATGGCGAAACAACGTGTGGCTGAGCGCAGCGCTGTGAATGGGCCACCAGACTCAGACCGGGCTCTGAAGGCAGAGGAGTCATCATCTTTGCCAGGGTCTGCGTCTTCATCCTCCTGTTTCGACTCCAATGGGGCACGACCATCTTTAACACAGATTTTTAATGTCACAGACGCTAGCAGTGACCCATTAACTCATAATCTCCAGGTATTATCTTAATCCTGAGTAGTTGTCAAACAAACTGCCAGCTTTGCCAGCTTTTTTCATTCTACACATTCAAAGCAAGCATCAATGAAATATTTCTTTTTCAGCTGACCCCAGATTCCATAAAATAAAATTCTGTCCTTTAAAAAAAAAAATAAAAAAAAAATTATTCTTTATATAATTTAAGCCCTTTAACTTTTAGTCTGAAAACAGAAATGTAAACTTGAGCTTTTGGGTACTCAAAGAAACAGCTACAGGCTGCCAACCCCCTGAGCCCACCTGTAGTTGCAGACAGGACATCTTTGCAGAGCTTCAGCCAGTGGGCCAGTTTGCTGCTGGTGGCACTGGCTGCCATCATATGAACCAGAGTCTCTTGAATGTCCTTCCTCAGACTGAAGTCTGACTCCCGGTCCAGCAGAATGAACAGAGCACCTTCGAGACCGACCTCTTTTATAGTGACATCTGCTCAGACAGATCGAAAGGATTAGGTGAGCAAAGATGTAGAAGAGAGGTGCGCTGCAATAAACTGCTCATATGCTACAAACGGAAGCAAGTAACTGTGTGTAAGTGAAATTTAATGATAAAACAAAATCAAGCAAATTTCACTGCACAAAGAGAGCTTCACAAGCAATGAAACACACATCAATAAAAACGTGAACAGAAGTCAGACAACAACAGTGAGCTGAAGGGCCAGAGAATAAAGTTGGTGAAAAAGAAAACACACTCATTCATTTATTATCAATCCAAACAAAAAAAATGGACTGGTAACACTAACAAACTGAAAAATGCAGTCCTGTTAAAAAAGGAGGCTGATAATCATCATAGTTTCCATAAAATGTCTGTTTCTTCTCACCAAGTTGCGTGTTGTCTCGTCTTGGGAGCTCTTTGACCAGAGCAATGGCATGCTCAGAGACCTCCAGCGCTTCCCGCTGGACAAGCTGGCGCAAACACGCCACCACGGCCCGGCGCAAACATAGGAACGAGCTGCACAGGTTTGCCTGAAACACAAACACACAGTTCACACACATAACAACTCTACCTGACACTGTACTTTTTCATCAGGGGAAAGCATGCTGTTAAAGACAGTGTTTCATCCAGGAGTTGTTTCCACCAAATCTTCAAGGTCCGCAGCTGCGGACCTTAAAAACAGCCCATCAATATGGAACAGTATTCACTCAAATAATAACGTTTACAAGTTCCTAAAACTGAGTTTGAGTGGAATACTTTTTTTTTTTTTTAAAGTCTGGCTAACAGCACAAAAAACAAAACCGGTATATTTTTGGGTTTAATATTCACATTAAAAATTCTACAATTATAGAATATTGTGCTTTTAATCAAACTTTGTTGTATGAACAAACAAAAACAATCTACAAATTAATAGTAGCAACACTTTCTCCAGAGGAAACACTGTGGGGGATAAAAAACAATGGACGAACTTTTTGTCAGAACTGCACTTGAGGCTGTTAATGTGTTAGCTGAAAAGCAAACAAAGTGAGAGTAAATAGTAAATTAAGAATAAACACTCAAAGAATAAGAAAAAAACTTAATTAATACTGTAAAACAGGGAAAAAGGTTAAAATTCTGCAAAACAGAAAACTGAGCTGACAGGATTCATTCCAACAGAATGGTGTGTTCATAAGTGACGGGGAGCTGTGTTAAAACAGAGTGTCAGTGACACAGTGACTCTGGGCGATACGGGCATCTTTTTTGAGATCACATTTAAAACTGTTATTCATAACAAATTTCTGAGCTAGCATACCCTGAAAAATGCAACTGTAAAAGTAGTACAAATAGGCACTATACAACTACTATACTACTGTGTTAACAGCCTGAGGTGTGTCTAAAAATCTCACTACGCCTTCCTAAGATATGTTTCAATACCTAGCTGATGTATAGATATTTCCACTAACAGTTAAGCAGATGGTGATGTTTGTGGAAAATCAATTTTGTGGTTCTTCCTGGATGCAAAAATGTCAGCTAAGGAAGAACAGCCAAGTCTGAATCTGCTAATCAGGATCCTGATTAAACAAAGACACAAAAGCAATCATTTTGTGCTTAAATAAAGAAATAATATAAAAATAATCTAAAATCTTTCCTATCTGTCTAAGTTCTCGGGATATTTATTGTGAAAGGAACTTTGTGTGAAGAGTATTTATATCGCCCAGACCAAGGTCACAGCAACAGAAAAGTCACAATGAAAGAAAAAAAAAAAAAAAAGAGATTACAAAGCTAAAACTGAGAGACAGCAGCTGCGGACCTTGGGAAAAAAAAAAAAAGAACCTACCAATACGGAATAATCCAACAAGATCTCCTGTAAGACAGAATGATCAAAAACAACACACACTATAAATCTGGACGAACTCTAATTTCGACACAGCAGAGAAACGTGGCACGAAATGCAGTATGCAAAGATGAAATATGAATCCAGTCGAGTTTGGACAAGTTGTGTCTGTCAAACAGGAAGCATGATGATGTTTAACAACATTTTATCAAAACTGAACCCATCAAAACACTCAGTCTTTAACCCTCTGTACCCTATAACAGCCATGACCGTGTATAAAAACCTTTTTGTACTCAATGCCCCTCTGCGATTAATAAAGTCTCTCTGATAGAATAGAATAGAGAACA